ATGTCAACGTAGAACAGCCGAATGACAATAATATACATAATTTTTATAATAAAGTACACGTATAACAATATTAAAAATAGAAGACCAAAATCATCAAATTTTAAGGAAGTTTATAATTTTGAATGATTAAATAATATAGTTACAAAATTCAATAGTACTGTAATATTTATGAGAATGAGAACAATAATAAGATCGCAGAGCAATATTTAAAAGCTATAATTGTTTCAATGGTGACATGTTATAATACTTTCATAATTTGAAAAGCAAATTTTTGATTTAAAATTTTTAAATGGCCTTTTTGATATTTATAGTAGATTGTCTCGTTCTAGTTTCACAAAAAATTCAAAAGCTTTATTTTTGAAGGAGTCTAGGCTGAGTGATTCTACGAGTTCAGTGCGGGTAGCTCTTTCCATAACATTTATGTTATTAATTTTACACAACAACTAATAAACATATAATATAAACAAAATTATTGAATTTTTGAGCAGATGAGTAAAATAATTAATAATAAGAAACATGGTAACATTGAAAACTGTAAACACGATCGAGACTTTTCATTTGAATACCCACAAAAATTTTTTATATATTTCACAAATAGTAAAAATCAATATTTTAGAATGACAGTAGTCGATTTTGTGAGTATTTATGTGTAGAATTTGCGGCTTACATTTCCATTTGATTCGAAGAAAATTTATTAATTTTATCTGAGAGAAGAGAATTACCACAATAACAATTAGCTTTAATGGCCTGAAACTTTACCTGCGCGTCGCTAAAGCTATATCATAAAATTGCGATTTTAAATCTCGACTTAAAATTTCACTTATTTTCTGACTAGCACACAGATTCAAAATTTAATGAAATTCGTACTTACCTTTTATTTATGTAATTACACTAATTATTCTTCTTAGCTCTCAATGTGGAAGTGCTACATCATTTCAGTCATTTTCTTACAGAATAAATATTAATTGTTTCGGAAAAAAAATTTTTTTTTCTTTGTAATATAATAGGGTATCGAAGGTTCTAGTTAAATTGATAGCTTGGAAATTTTATAAGTCAATAAATCAAATGATTAAATATTTTAGAAATTAAGATATCAAAAAGTGATTAGAAATAACTATAAGACAAATTTTTAATATGGTTAAATTTTATATCAGGCTTTAAGATAACTATTGATAGTAGAATTATTTAATTAGAATAAAACTTTTCATTACATAAAAATTTTTTAATAATAGACAAAGATTCTCTGAGTTGTAGGGATAAATATAATAATAAAAAATCAAATCAATTATGTTTCAATAACTAAAATATTTTATTATTTACACTAAAAAAATTAAATCTAGATTATGTTAATAAATTTACAACATTATTTACATACATTCATATATACATACAATTATTGGCTCAAACATTTTAAATCTGTGTCATTCAAATAATAAAGAATATTTCTTACAACTAAATCTGGTAAATCCATATAAAAAATATTGTACAACTCGGTTGCATTTTTCAGTAGCTCTTTTCTCTCAACCGCTTTTCTTAATTTTTCAATCATAATGCTACCGTACACAGGAAAATCAGCTAATATTTCGTCTTCGTTAAAACAAAAGTTTGAATGTCTTAATCCTACAGCTAATCTATGTACATTTTTAACTACTACATCGAAATAATTAAAAAAAGTGTCGCTTATTTTTCTACTTTTCAATTCACTTATTTCCTGCTCGCACTTTTTACGGAACGATCTGAAACGCTCACTATTTACAGCTTGAAAATTATTTATGCTAACATATAAACCGGCTGCGGATAACTTAATGATGTGACTCTCGATTATTTTTATTATTTCTGAAGACTGATCCTCTGTGTCATTATTAAAAGGCTGGAAAATATTTATGTCCATGGCGACATCAAGCAAACTTAAATTATTTTTCTCAACCACATTAACACTTACTCCAGAGTCCAGTAAATATCCTAAAATATTTTTACCACCGAACACAACAACTTGATGAGCTATAGTAACACCGTGATAATCAGAAAGGTCAAAAAAATTGTCATACTTTTTAATAATATGCTTGAAAAGTTCTATGTTATCTTGCTCCAGAACTTCAATAAACTCCATAGTGTATTTCCTATCCTTGATTATTTCGAACTTCGCTCCGAATTTCTCCAGAATTCGGAGAATCTCAATACTGCTGATGCCTAATACAGCCAATTGTAAGGAAGAGCATAGTTCATTGGATCCTTGATCGATGATGGCGTTGTGCTTCAATAGCAATTCAATCAAGGAAATATCCTTTAATAAAATTGCTAAGTTTAGAGGAGACCAGTTGCAGGACCCCAATGGTATTTTGAGTTTGTAAGGTACCAAGTTTACGTCTGCTCCTGACTTCACTAGAAACTCGGAGATGTCGTAGGTAGAACTTTCAATGGCTAGGTGAAGTGGTGGCAGAGTTTCACAGAAGCCTAGCATTATGTTGATGTCAGCTCCGGAAGATACTAACTTCTTTACGACGTCAAGCTTTTTTTCCTTGATCGCAACGTGGAGCGCCGTTCCCAAAAATTGCGTGCTGATGTTTAAGTCAACGTGATTTTCCAATAACAAGTCGATGAGTTCGTCGCATGAGTTCACGATTGCGAACTGAAGGAGACTTATTTCTTTGCACTGATTCCAAGAAAATATTGAGTTAACACTTAAATTTCCGGATTCCACCAACTTTTGGATCTCTTTTAAATCACAAATGTTCACTGCCATTTTTGTATTTGGGTAATTGAAAGATAAACAATTGTACTTCACGAAAGATTGGTTTTGAATTTGAAGATCTTTGCGCTTTGAATTCTAGCGTAAGAATGATTTGAGTTCTTGAAGCAATTTACGAGGTAACCTTTTTCGGCTCCCTTCCTCAAAAAATTTATTAGGGTCTTACCCCTTCTTTCAGTCTACCAGCGCTTGCCATTGGTTCTTTTACTTTTGTAGGGTTAGAGGAAATAGAAGTGGGGAGTTCATAGTTTAAGAGATCCTTAGCCAGGTCATATTTTGCGAATTGTGTTAAGTCATTAAATGATCCCTTAAGGTTAATTGATTCTTCCTCAGTAAGATTTTAAGTGATGGTATTTATTCAGATCCAAGAAGGAAACAATGACTCTTTGATATTTGTTTTGGATTGCTAGGAGAGTCGGAATCGTGGGTATGGTCACGTGTCAATTTTTTGAGACCCTTTCGCCCTACTTCACCAGCTGCTAATTTTTTTGAATTTTCAACTTCTTTTATTTTTTTCTGTAGTCCAATAATGTTGATAAATAACTTATAAAAAGTGGATGGTAAAAATATTGATTGCCTTTTTTTACGGCACTTCAACAAATTACCTAAAATTCATGCTTTTAGACAAGAATACCCCCTTAAGGTTAATTGATTTTTTCTTAACAAGTTTCCAGAAACTCCTATTGAGATTTTAAGTGAAGGTATTTATTCAGGTCCGAGAAGGAAACAATGACTCGTTGAATTTATCGTCAAAAATTACACAATAATACTCTTTTGTAATATGATAATAACGTTTTAGTATCTAGATATAAAAAGAAAGACTGAAAATTTTACTTTATTTGACTTTTGTCTTATCTATAATGCCAAAAAAAATCCCATTATTTGTGACGCTGCAATAATTATCTATAAATGAGTATTTTAATTAAGAGATAATCTACTGTAATATATTCTTGCCGAAAATTCTTTTCCGCATTATATATAATAATATTATCAATCTATATAAATATATTTATTGATTTGGGAAGTAAAAGAACCGTGTAAGTGAACTCGGTGCTGATTTAATATTTTAATTTATTAATACTTAAACATTAGTAGTTGCTAAATAATGATGTGAAGCTTAGGAGTCACTCAGTCTTTATTTTTCTAACTTCCCGCTAAAAATCTCAGATTTTCAAAAATCGGGAAGTTATTGTTTTCACCCGGCCCCGTTTTGCAAAAATCGAGTTTTCATCAGATCTCGAGGTTTTAAGGTCATAGGAAGGTTCCCTGACTATACCTCTGCGGTGGTGTCTGTATGTGTGTGTGTGTGTGTGTGTGTGTGTGTGTGTGTGTGTGTGTGTGTGTGTGTGTGTGTGTGTGTGTGTGTGTGTGTGTGTGTGTGTGTGTGTGTGTGTGTGTGTGTGTGTGTGTGTGTGTGTAGTA